GCGCGCGAGTCCGTCACAATTGATTTATAGATGAGTGCTCTTTCTTTTTCTTGGCTATATTCTTTTGCATCATTATTTGATTATGTAATCTGAAAATGAGAGTGTGCGAATTATTAATAATATATTTATATAAAAAATAGCAATAAGTCAAGGTAGACAGTGAAATCACCTGATAAAAATGACAGGACGTGCTTTTAGGGTTTCCTGATTCTATATATATTTTTTTTCTTTATTCGTGTATGAATTATAATTGTTCGAACTGCATGTCGGAAAGGGTAAACTTGGCAAACATATATACATGTAATTATATAAATACTTTATTTTTAACATCATCTATATGTATTCAATTCCTCGTTAAAAAAAATTGAATTAGAAATTGTAATTAACAGGGAATGTAATATATACATCACTGTTTTTTCTTTTACGATTTTATTAAATTTTCTTGGTCTCAGAAGAAAGAGAAAAGATACTTGACCAATCTTGAGATTAAAAAAATATCATAATTCAGTTTACATTATATTCCTAATTTTAATCACAGCAAAATTAAACTTTTCAAGCAGAAAAATAATTAGATATTAATTTCTTGAGCTTAATTTTGCACTGTATTCTATGAAGACTTCTGAAACAGTGGACATTGTTGACATTTTAGCTAAATTAGTGCAAATGACAAGAATACCCTTTGAAGACACGTGCAATTTCTTGACGTAACAAGGGTAACGTTGGAATCAGCATGATCAATCTAGATCAGCAGTTCAGTACTAAACGTCATATCTTTTGAGGATTTATTTTTTACAATTATAGGTGCAATTATTGAAATATTTCAATAACATGTGATTCATTTGCTAAAAAAATCAGCTGATGTGGACTCATATATAATTTCTGGAAAATAATACAGTATATATTAACCTTAGAGATTGTAGCTTCTGGTATTTTATTTTGAATAATCATATTGTTCTCATTCCGTCCGATAATCAAATCAGAATTCTATGAAGTTTTGGATTACTGCTTAAACAACTCGATTAATAGTTTTTCTATATGTGACCACTTATTAGCTAGTTGGTTCGAACTCTATTGTGTGAAGTCAAATTTTATTTTGAGATAAATTTAAGAGTTTTAAAGTTTAAAAAGTTGGTCTCAGACAAACGTGATTAACAAATAATAAAATTTCTTATACTTTTGATCTAACTGTCGTTTTATAATTTTTGCTTTAATTTGTTTCATAAAATAATCTCCATTTTACATTTTTGATTAAAAAAATGAAAATATTATATGTCTTTGTAGACAACGTTCATTAGAAAAAAAATGTGGAGATTGACTTAAAAATGTACTGGAAAACATATTTAGAAATTAAACTTAATTATGGAACAGAGATAAAAACCAAAGGTATTGGTTTCATAATCTCTCTCGCAAGGAGCCGCCGCCGTCGCCCGTCCAAGACAAAATGAACAACCTTCGTCGAAGCTCTTCTGACCAGAGTTCTGTCTCCTCTTGAAGCACCGCAGCTCCTTCATCTTTGGCCGAAGTCTTCCTCGAATCTCCACCGGATGTCTGCTACCGGTGAGAATTCTTGTCCAAATTTCTTGGTCTTCTCCATGGCTCGCAGATCTGTTTGGATGGATGTGTTCTCGAACTGCTCGCCGCGAGTTGCTTTGGTTTTGACCGCGACTTCCTCTCCCCTATGGATGATACCTTCTCTGGCAATGACGGAGCCTCCAGATCCGCCTATTCCACCGGATCCGCCGCCTCTCTCTTGTGGAATTACCATCGACTTACCTCTGCATCGTCGTACCCTGTTACTGAGCTCGTTAAAATCAGTTTCCTCCACATCGAGCTTGGAGAGACCACTTCCCGTTCACTGTGCTCTAATACCAGTCTCGCCGGAAAAAGTTTGGGCTCCAAGGAGATATCTTTATTCATATCTCATAACTCCAAAGAATCTATCTAATATTGAGTTAATGTTTTCTGGATTCAAAAATCTTGCATCTTCTACAATTTGGCTAAGGTCTGATTTATTAAGTCTCTATGCCATGTCTTTAACCATACTTTCAAGCTACGTTGATGTTCGATATGGCTTAGGTTTCATGTCTAGTTTTGATTCGACTCTTCTAGTGTGGTTTTGCTCTCAATGGACTCGTTTCCGATTGAGTAAATCGTTTGCATCATCCTCCTCTCTTGAGGAGAGAATCTTACCTCCATCTTTCCTCTCAAGGAGAGGTGATCGGTTTTCGGTATCGAAACCAAAAAATTTCTCCTCCTTTATGGAGCGAGATTTGCTAAGCTCTATGCTAATGGCTTTGGTCGGGCGAGCTATGTATGACCATGATATGGTCGTGGGTTTAAAGAAAGTTGATTTCAAGTCTGCCTCTCTCCAAAATTCAGCAAGTCGAAGTCTCATGGTCTGGGATTTGGTTGTTGATATCTTGTTGGTTGGATGTGTATTGTCTGAAGCTTCGGACAAAGTTTCCAGAGTCTCGAACGTGATTTTGGGTTCTTACGACTTTGGCTCCCTACTTATCTCAAAAAATGGTACAACCAAGTCTTGTATCTCTATTGATTCTATCAAGTTACTATCTTTTTATGCTGTAGTCTTCTTGTGGTTGTTGTAATTTCGTTTTCATCCGTTTCGAATTTGAACAAGTTCTCCTCTTTAGAGTGTAACCGCTTTTAAGGATATCAATTCAATCGTTGCACAAAAAAAAAGAACAGAGATAAAACCCTTTTCAATAACAAAAGGATATGTGTACAATATATAACCATCAAAAGAGTGTTCACTGTAGTATTTGTTTATGCAATTAATAATTACACGAAACGTTTAAATATTTGGAAACTAGAAACATAACTTGTACCTGTTTAATATATATTCACTCGGAACATGTATTATATACTCCATCCGTTTCAAAATGTAAGTTGTTTTAGAGATTTTTTTTTGTTTCAAAATGAAAGTTGTTTTGACAATCTTAGGTACTTTTTAACTTTATTAAATATTATGTGACCACTAGTATTTTGCAGTCTTTTGTGTGATTGGTCAGATTATTTTTATTAAATATATTAAATGATACTTTTTAGTAGAAAAGTAGTTCTTAATATCCGTGTTTTTAGTTAAAACAACTTATATTTTGAAACAGATGGAGTATTACAGTTTATGTACGTGCACTAATTAGTACGAGCAAGGTACTTTGATTAAAATATTAATACGAAAAATAAAGACCACAAAAGAATGAAAGTGAAAAAAGGAAATTTTTTTTTTTGAAATGTGAAATTTATTGATCAACGAAGAAGAAAAAATATTTACAACTTTGGTCATTTAGTTTTCAGAAATCAGATTTAAAAAATACAGATGTCAAACTTAACCTAACAAAGCTTGATTCCATCCTTCTCCATTGCATGCATCTGAAACCTTTGCTTCACGCTGGATTCCTAGAAGAAGGGTTCCTGACTCACCTGTAATATCGAGAAGACGACCCATTCCCAGCCAATCGTCAAACCCAAAAGAAGGTTTGGGTACCATCTTTTACCTCTGATCTCATGAAGCTATAAGCCAAAGATTTCATTCTGAGCAATTTCTTCCATATCCAGATCTCATGGAGCCCTCAACAACAGCCCAAAAGAAAATTTCATTTTACATCAAACCTAAGGGATTATCAATATGATATGTCATTTATGGGTTTACTAGGTGATTCTTCGCGTTATACGCAGAATAATATATTAAAAACTAATTCTAATAAATTTTCGTATTATGCTTAAATGGTATACTATTTTGTATTGATTTTTAGACACACTTCTACTATGTCATATTAAAGTATTTAATCCATTTTGTAGTTATCCATGTCATATTTCAAATTTTATAGATGCAGGAATTCCCAAACCAAATTAGTTTCTGTTTTTTTACTCATTTTAGTTTAAATATTCTTTCTCCCATACTTCCACTAAAAAAAAAATCTCCACTACGGTACAAGATGATCAGTACAATTTCTCATTCGATATATCTATTTTAATTTTCATAGCAAATGTATGATTTGCTATAAATTTATATTTATTATTTTCTGATAATCGAATACATATGGACGTTTGTCTTCATTGTTTACAAATTTTCATAGCTAAAACGACATTCTAGATCTTAACTAATTCAAATATATTTTTAATGTTGAAGAGTCGCATATAAAAAAATTCATAACTGGAAATGTGTTTAATTAATGGAATCGATTTTCTAATACATGATATCTTTATTGTTCGTTTGTCTCCATTTTTTTGGTATAATTTGGGTTTTTTTTAAGTTTGTCATTTACATTTTAATCTTGTAGTGATAGTTTATGAATTTATTTTAAATATATATCGTGATTGGTATGAGTTTTGAATGTATTTCTGTTAACAATCATAAATATTAATCCTATAGATCAGACAATATTGGAGTTTGTAAGTTATTTATAAATATCTATTAGTTAAAATGACGATCGAGGTAACCAAATCCTTAGTATGATTCGTTTTTAAAAGGCTAGAGATTATTATTATTTTTTAAAAATTCATTATCCTCTAAACGTTATAATGCTTTGAGTTGGTAATAACCTAATACTTTAAAGAAAATAAAAGATAATTGATATAAATACACCCACGACAAACAAATTACAAATTGCAAAACCGGGCGAGTCGTATTTAAAATTTGATATAAATACATCCACGACAAACAAATTTCTAAAGCGGTTCAATTGATATAAATGTGGCTAATTAAAATAAAAATACACCCACGACAAACAAATATTGATTGGTGTATTTTTTTTAGTTAGAGTGCTAATTTTAAGTAGTTTTGTGAGATTAATTTTAATGGGTATAAGTTTTAGTGGACTAAACTAATGGGATTAATGTTTGATAAATTTTGCCATGTCACATTTTAGAGGATATCATGTCACAATAATTTTGGGATATTGATTTTAGAGAAGACAAATAAATTTTTTTGGAAGAATTACCTCCCAAATAATGTATAAGGAATTACGAGCTAAGTACATTGATTAAAAAAGTATTGGAGTTTTAATCAAAATAAGAAATTGATCTTGTGCACTACATGAAAGGTTGATAATAGTATTCATAAAAGAGACATTATTCGGACTCGGATATGTACGATCGAAGGGTTCCATACCTGATACGTTCTTGTGTACGACTTCATACGTTTGAAATTGTTGAGCAACTCATACATTGAAGGCCAGAAGAGCGTTCCAAAATCATACATTGACTTTAGCTATTCACACGATTTGATTTCTCATGATATATTTTTTCTAGAAATAACAATTACTTGTGTTATATTTAGAGCATGGTATAAACAATAAACTTTACATTATAATCTATTGATTTATGCTAGTATTATTAAGATGGTGCAAATTATTTGTTAAATCTACTACAATTTGATATTCGTCTCGATTTGATCCAAAAATTTGGATATTCTTGATAATTAAAAAAGAGCAATTACTAAAGTATAGTTTCCATTTAAAAC